ATGCCATGCCTGTTGTAATCTTAATGATGTTAAACATGCTAATAAATCATAGCTTCATAGTACAAATCATAGATGATGTGAGGAATATTGTATGTTTTATGTCTCAGTTCCATTGTCTCCCACATTACAAAGCTTGCAGTGCTGTTTTAGGCATTTTAACGACATCACTCTGATTAGTAAGAGCTGTACTAACTTGCCCTTTGAACGAGCAACACTCAAGAACTGAAATCACACAGACACCTGCTTTTCCTTGTATTGTATCGCTCTGCTAGTTTGAATTGTAAATGTGAGTCTCTATATGCACTCTCCTCCTCCTCATCTAAGCTTACACGAGTGATTAGACTGCAGAGGTAAACGCATAAGTGGCCTTGTTCTGTCGCCCACACACCTGCATCTGCATCTCTCACTCTTTCTGTATACCTCTAATGTTCAATACACATTAGGAATTCAGTATACATCTGAATTCAACAGTTGACAAGCCTCATCTTCTGCACACATCTTACATCATCCAAGCAAGTTTGCTTTGAAAGAGACACCCTTCAATATTAAGAAAAATAAATGTAATCATTTATAAAACAGCTTTTTAAAATATTTTTGCGCAGAATAATTAATGCAACATCTAAAGACAGATCCTCTCTCTATTGATCGATATCCCCTGCCCTTTAGAAGAAGCATAGCAAACAGCTGATTAGCATATAGGTTTATAACTACAATCCCACAGGATGAAGCACACGCCTAATTAGTCTATCACTCCATCGCCTTGTCAATTCGTTCATGGTCACACTGGAGTGCCTTACTACCTAAACTATACACATGCTGGCACAGCCACTTTGCCGCATCCTTCTCATCTGCATAGAAACGGGCTGACCAATCTAAATAGACAGTTTGCCACACAATAGCGCGCTCTAAAAAAAGGAGGAGAGTGAGAAGTGGGCTGTAGGTTAATCAATCCAACTGGCACACAATGGCAAGAATATCACTTTTAAATACAATCAATTAGGATGTGGGCAGCTGTAATATTGCACAGATACAAGTGTGGAAGTGTCACTACTGCATAGACGATGGGAAATAACACATGTTAATGGAATAATTTGTCACCATGTTATTTATGAGACTTACAACTGTGTAACAATGCAGCACATTGTTAGATACAACGGGGCTACACCTCTGCGGGATAATTTATGCTAGGCTGTTGGTGATGGCTATATAAGGGCAAACGCTGCTTATGGTGCAGCACAGCAGCATATCAAGGCTTTGCATTTTTTCGAATGACATGAAAATAGATTTCTTCTTAAGTCTGTCTTATCTCAGTGACCCACTTCACTCAAATCAACTGACTTCATATATTGCAGATAGCTTTGTGTGTCAATCTCTTCTGACTTTTTCGAGAGAGTATGAAGGCACTGAGTATGATGTCCACTATCGGCAGGTGAGAGCTCTCTCTATGTCCCACCCACCCACTCAGGAGGAGATGGTGTTTCTAGGTCAGACAAAGACTGAAGGCAACAACAGTGACACATATACAAACAAACCCACCTTTTCAGTGAACCCTATATATTATTCAGATTTGAGGATGACAAACCGTATGAATAGGGGTCTGACCGATGTTGTTCTTCATAATTCAACAACAGCTACACGTGTTGAAACATGTCTTGAAGAAGGAAGGGTTTTTGGGATGGAAAAGAAAGTCCTGGGCTCCATGTGAGTCTGCTATTGATGGTCAGCTACAATCTGTTTTATCATTTTTCTTTTTAATAAAATCTTTTTTAAAAAAAAAAGGGCTCAATGTTAATTTATAAAGTCATTCAACCTTTAATGCTCACAAAATAAAGATTAGAAAAAACATGCAATGCTGTTATCAAGAGCTCATTTGACTTAAATATTTATCAAATAGCAAAAAATTATTGTAAAAGTCAATTTCAGGATTTTTATACTCCACATAACTGAACAGTAACACTAAGCCAAATGACAGAAGAAATCTATCATCATCCATCTCAGGTCAGCGAGTGCGCTGCTGAAAACTGGAGGTGTAAAATGGCTGGTATGTCCGTGCATCTGTCCCTGTGCTGACTGTGTGTCAGTCTGTAAAGACCACATACAGGCTGGGCATGTTATTTTAATGCTCTTTTCTGAATAAATAAATACAAAAGTAGTGTTGTCTTGTTTTCAGTTTATCTACCACACATCTGACATCTCTTTATTTTTTGGCACTTGAGCTATGTTTTGGTGAAGATGTTTTAATTACACAAGGATGACAGCATATCATTCCTGACAGCCCACACAGATCCAAATGTCTGCTGTTGCTATTATCCAACTTATTAATAACATTCAGGGCATGTTTCTGAAGTAAAACCAGTGCATTGAGCGTCTGCTGAGTCTGGGACTCAGGCTGCTGATGTTGAAGAGAACAGAGTCTTTGTCTATAATTCATAGAGCTAAATGGAACCCAGCAGCCTGTCCTGTCACTGCACGTCTGCACTAAAGCTCTTAATGTAGAGCCAGCAAGGCAAAGAAGTGGGGTGTGAAACTAAAATACTCCTCAAGTACTGTACACCAGCCAACAAAGAGCATGTTTGCACACAGAGGTCTTTTTTTAAATCCACAGACATCAGAAACCAGACAGGATATACCCTGTTATATAAAATATTGCAGGCTGACTCCTGGAGACAACCATTCCAGTTCAATTGTGAAAAATGTTATCAACTTATCAATTACATCCAGATATCACTCCTTTTGAAAATGTAAAAAACAAGAATAATCATTGAAAAACATCAATTTAATAAGAAATTAAAGCTGGCTGTGAATTTGTTTGTACTTGGTCTGAGTATTGCAAAAAACAAAAGAAAGATGCTGGAAGTGAAATTATTTAAGCTATTGACAATATAGCCCCCCCTTTATTTTAAATATGCACCCCCTCAATTATATGAAGATGATGGCCTTACTGCAAAAATAATAAAATAAAACGTGAATATAGCAAAGACAATGTTAAAGATAAACACACAAAGCAGTTAAGAATATGAATAATTAATAGGTTAGAATTTTGTGAAATATTTATCCAATAAATGTTATTACAAAATCAGATTTTTTTTAATGGATTTAATTTCATCAATAAGCATTTTATTCTGTTAATTTATAGTCTTTGTTAACTCAACAAAAAGCTATAAAAAGCATTGAGTGCTCCCTGTGGCTCTTAACACCCGCAGTCATTTTCTCTACATAAACAAAAGGACATCCCTTATCATTCTCTTCCGTTATTGATCCCTGGAGAAGAATCATTCAAACTGAGAAAAAATATATTTACAGGGTTTTAAAATGTGCCATAATTAAAGAATAACTCCTTTCTTCCACTTCCACCAATAGATTTGTAGGAGTTGTGTCTTTCTCATATTCCATCATATTCACAGGGCGTTTATTTCTAATATAAATTCCACTTTACCTCATACTGAAGATACTGTTTCCTCCACTCTGGAGTGATGTGGGACGAAAGATGCTCCGCGAATTTCATTTTGCCGGAACAAGTGTCCCCTCAAACCTCCGTTAAATCCGAGAGCGGCTGTCTTCCTCCTCCTCGTCGACGCGACTTTTGTTATTTCAGTGAACTTGCTGGCTCAACATGCAGCGCGTCAGCCCGGCGCACTCCGCTGCTCTTTACTCCACTTCTGGCTCGTCCCGGTCAGTGCAAATCCCGTCCCGCATACTACTCTACGGGAGGGACGACAACAGCAACTGTGGCCTTTCTTCACAGGTGGTCAGACGGCAGAAAAGCGGAACCGGGTGAGAGTGGCTCAGTGACTTTGCTCCGTCCCTCCCTGGGCAGGTCTGGGGACATTGCAGTCCGCCATCAAATTGAGCCACAGCGACGTGGTTGCGTCAGCAGAGCGCGCGGTAGCACCGGGCGTAGTTGGGACCTCCTGTGAAAAGTACAAGTCCGGGGAATCTGTTCTTTCACAGTTCATCCAAACAAGAAGTCCAGAAGGCTACCGATCTTGTTTAACTTGTTTGAGTCTCAGTTGAATAGCACATTGTTGTGTTTGGTTTGCTGGGATACAGTGATGGATATCAAAACACTTTCCCTTCTTCTGTAAGATCATGTGCGTCCGACCCACTACTCCATCCAGCAATCATGATTTCAAACATGCCTTCCTCTGGAAAGGCAGAGGTAGACTATGGGAGAACAGCAGGTTATAACAGGATACCACGTTGTTAGGATATATTTTAAAGGGATATTATGTTGTCCATATTTTAAAGGGATATTATGTTGTCCATATTTTAAAGGGATATTATGTTGTCCATATTTTAAAGGGATATTATGTTATCCATATTTTAAAGGGATATTATGGTGTCCATATTTTAAAGGGATATTATGTTATCCATATTTCAAAGGGATATTATGTTGTCTATATTTTAAAGTGCAATGAAATCTAATGACAGCCGACCTACACTCTTAACAAGTAACATAACGTCATTCTGAGTCTGTGTCAGAAGAACGCAAAGTTTTCTTTTTTCTTAAGCGTTGCGGTGACTCGCCTGTTGCAGACGGATCATGTTGTAATTTATCATTAGGCCAATAGCAACATCTGGTGGACAAACTGAGTCCATGCATTTTGCCCTAAGTGTGTCTGGGCTGAAACATTTGTCAACTAAAACATTCACATAATAACGATATGAGCTCTACTGGATGGTTAATGGCATTAGATGACAGGCGATTAATTGGACATAGAGCCTGCTGTCAAACTGGACTCACCTTACGGAGGAGTTGTAGTTGAAAGAGAAACCAAGGCAACCAAAGGCTGAATTAACCAAACCTGTAACCAGGCAACCATGGAGCTACCTAACGAGCAAAAACAACGGCTGTTAGTGACATTTTTCTTTGCTAAAAAAACCAAAACACATATGTACTTAAAACAGTTTTTATTTTCTGTCTCCGTTCTTCTCTTTATTAAGCCCAAGAGGCCCGTACGAAAACGGAACCATTTTTTCTCAAGGTAATGTTTTCTTGTCCGGTGCTTTGACTTGACAGGACCAGCGACGGACCAGCTGGAGAAACAAATCCGTCTGTCACGGAATCTAAACGGAAAACGGATTAAAAGACGAAGTCGCCACTGATTTACCCCATGAATATACACTTTAAAGCAGCCGCTCAACGTCGGTGCTAAACATTTTGTAAGGACCCCCCCTCACGCGTCGTCTCTGACGTTACGCCTACGTTGTAAACAATAATAACAATGGCATCTGGGTCGCCGTCGTCTTCTCCGGACACTGCGACTGGCTCAGGTACAGACCCAGCCCGGCCCGACACAGGGGAGCCCCTTGGTGGAGCAGGTTCAGACTCGGACTCAGACCTGGGTCTTGGTAAATTTGACTGCAGCGCTATGGAGATGGGTGACCGACTGGAGGGAGAGGAGCTTGAGCTGGAGTTTGTGTCTGCAGCTGACCGGGTTCGAGATCTGGTTCAGACCGCCAGCAGGGATCAGCTGCTCTACCTGTACGCACGGTATAAACAGGTGAGTGTGGGGAGAAGATGCAGTTTTTGTTATGCTGGCCAATTTGAACTCATCAGCCTTGTCACTAGGCACATGTTGTGTTTAAACAACACTCAGTGAATCCCCAACATTCCTGTATCATCATTGTTTTTGACAGGCCCAAACCTCTGAGTGTTCGTATCTGGTGTTAACCCTTCTGAATAAAACTGGATGAGATTAATCACTCAGACTTTCTTTCTTTTAGGCTAAGGTGGGTAAGTGCAATACACAGAAACCTGGCTTCTTTGACTTTGAAGGACAAAGAAAATGGTAGGTGGCATGAAATCTGATGCAGAATTTCAAATATGCATTTGTTTAAGATGTATGCGATTGAATTTGTTGTATTGTAAATGACACTGGGTGTGAGTGAGTGTGTGAGTCATAGAGGACGAGTTGGAGCTCCTGTTACAACACATGGCACTTATCAAGTTGCACATCAGTAAACAGCTGTGGGTTATAATTGTAAATGATGTTGTGATCTCTTTTGCAGGCAAGCCTGGAAGCAGCTTGGAGACATGGACACAGAGCAGGCAATGCAGGAGTACATTTCCTGTGTGAATGTGTTAGACCCTGAAGGCTGCACAAAGGTAATGAGAACCATTTATGATAAATTAAATCTGATTTCCAAAAGCTTATCACAGTTGTATACTACAACATAATGTACTAAAGTGTGCAATGTTGTACCATTCTGTGTCAAAATATATTGGTCATTTCCAAAGTTTTGCAATAAATAGATTGAAGTGGTATTCATTTATTGACTGGCCTATGGTTAGAGCAGGAAAAGGGATGTTTGATAAATGCTCTTCTGCATTTTATTTACATGAATGTCAGGCTAGGTCATTTATATCTGATGTGCTGTCTTCATTATGTCTCATTAAGAGATCAACATTGTTAGAATTGTACCCATGTGATAATACTGAACTGAATGACAAATACTGAGAGAATGCTATCTAAAAGAAAAGCTGACATTTCAGCTTGTGATTCTTGGCTACTAAGCTACGCAATCTTGCAAAACGTCAAATCCCGCCCAGCTGACTGACACATCGTGTTACCTCAAACTAAACTTCAAGACATTTTAAATGAACATTAGTTTGCACCTAAGCCCTGCTGCAAAGATGAAAAACATGACAAACACAGAATCTGTCATTTTCCTCTAAGATGCATTTTGTATTTTTGCCAGTAGAGGTCAGCATTACTGTGTCAATGTGTCCCATGCCTTTTAAAGTAGCTCTTTTTTTCTGAGCATGAAAAATACATGAGTAGATTATGTCTTCCTCCTCAATGGCTGTCATTTTGGGATATGAATAATGCAAAAAACTGTCAAAGTCTGGCTGTAGAGATGTGACAGTGTGTATAGTGACTAAAGAGAGACTGTTTACATCCCTGCACGGCCTCTTGTCATGTCAAGGTACCGTGTCAGGAGACTTGTGTTGCCATGGACATGTTGTCCTTTGGGGCGGCAGCAGCATCATTCAGTTGCAACAACAAATTTGTGCTGCCTTTCCAGTTTGGGAGGGAATATTTAATTGTGGGGATGAAAAAAATAATTGTCACATTAAAATTAGTTATGAGTAATAATAAACATAGACATAATACATGTAACAACAGTTCATACTGTAAAACGTCTCAGTTCTTTAAGGCACTTATTTTTAAAGAATGATCTTAATGTAAGAACAGTGAAGATTATTTCATTTATAATTTCTTAGAAAAGTTTATTCTGAAACAGTTCGCTCACACATGGAGGGTTGTTTAATAAAAAAATATATTTTTTAAATTTAGATGATTGCTCTTAGGCCAGAAAATAACTTAATTGTTACCTAATTGTTTCTGCATTGTTTTGAGAAAGATTCGTAACATGCTGCTTAATTTCATCCATCTTATTTAATCAATGAAAAAATCCAGACTTGAATGATCGTAACGTCACGTTTATTTTATATCTAATACTACCATGCCAAAGTGAGGCTGCAGCTTCTGTATAATATGATGATGTGTCCAGTTTTTGTTCTCATTGTTCAAATTGGTAGCAAGCCATACAAGTTGTTTTCCAAACAAACAATGAGATCTTGACATTTAAAATATTATCCAAGACATTTTATGTTATTTTAGATTAAATTAACCAGGAGAACCTCATAGAGAGGAAGATCTCAATAACAAGAGTGTCCTGGCCAAGAGGGGCAGCTGCTCAATAAACAAGTTACAGACATAAAACACAGGTCAACATGTCCTGATTCACAGAGAAGAAAAATAACTTTATAAAGCTGATTCTTGTTAAAAGGGTGTGAAGTTGCCATGGTTTTAATGATTTAAAAAGCATCACTGGGATGTAGGTGGGAATGTTAGCAAGTAGTATAGTAGTTAGAGAGCTTTTTACATTTTTAATTGCTGAAGGGGTTACACAATTCATTTTAAACAAGTTGCATTGGTAAAAATTCATGTTCAAGTTTAGTTAGACAGAAATACCAACAGTTCAGATTGTGAGGTGCATGCAGCCTTTTACAGGGTTTTACTTTGATCAGTGATGGTCAGTCTGGCGGCTTGACTCACATTGTGTAGGAAAAAAAATACTGAAGTGAGATGAATAGACTGAGAATGTTTTCTTATTTGACAAAACAGTTCTTGATATAGTTTATTTTTGGTGGACATAATATGCAGTTTAAAAAAAAGTTAAATTGATGTATATTGTATCGAAATTCTCAGCCAATCGCGAAATGTTTAAAATCGAAATAATATCGTATCGTGACTCAAGTATCGTGATGATATCGTATGGGGGGGGGGGGGGGTCTCTGGTGATTCCCACCCCTAATAGTGGTATACTGGATGCATTCATTGTCACATTATGCTCTACAGGCCCAGCCCTGTAGAGATGGATTTTTTCTCAGATTCCCTTCAACTCTTCATTACGGCCCTTGTCCTCTTTTTGAATCCTTCCCCAGGCACTCTTTTCTTTAGCTGATTCCCCCTAGCGTTCCTTGCCTTCCTTATTTATTTATCTTTAATAGCGTCACTGTCTTTCACATGTCCAGTTCTGACACGTTCTTTTCTTTTTGGCTCTAGTGCAGAGCAATACTCGCTGACTCTGCCCCTCAGCTGCACAATGCCAGCAGAGAGACAGACAAGCGCACAAATGCCTGCCCTCTTGAAAAGAAGCTGATTGTATTAGTGTTAACAAAGCACCATAGCATGGCAGTGGCTATTCTTTTGGAGGCACAGTCAAATGGTGTAAGTCGGAGTGCAGAGACAGAATACCAGGGGAGAGAATAATAGGTCAAATTTGACCTCTGTTCCTGCCTCAATTGTTAAGCAGACTCTGGCTTTATATTGCATTATACTTTAGAGGAGGCAGGGTTGGTGCATCAGCGAATATTCTGAGTTTCTGAAGTAAATTAGGTTCTTTCCAAAAGTGCACGCACAGTTGTTTTGGTCCTCTTGTCATGTTCTCCCCCACTCTGGGTATCTTCTGAAATCCGATTTGTGTGTCTTTCTTTGTAAGTCAACGTTGGTCATTGAAGAATAGGCCAGGTAATAAGTCTTGGCTGAGCTGAATGTAATATGGAATTCCATGAAAAAATACAGACGATTTTACAAGAGTGACATTTTAAGGCACTATGAACTTTTTATTGGGCTTGCGGGTATTGATGGGAATTTATTACATATGAGGTCATGTCCAAAGCCCCCATAGCATTTTTATCAAAACAGAATTTATCCTTTGGTCTGTCTCATGCATCAGCTTAACCTCTGGCTTTTGTGGGAAATGTACAGGTACATCCCCAAATGGTGAATAGGTGCACTCAACCCCTTTGTGCTGCGTGAAGCACACTAAACAAATAGGTCAGTACCTCTGTTCACTTGGAAAAGAAAGCACAGGCTGTTATCAGAGGACAAACTAGAAGAGGTTGGTGATTGACAGAAGCTATCTTTAAACAAGGTATCAGGTGGATATAGCTCTTTAATGTGTGAGCATCTTTTATTTTGGCAGGAAAGACGAGGAGCAGAAAGAAGAACAGGCTTTGGAGGAGCAGCAGTCAGCTCTCTGTACCAGGAAGAGATGATCAGGTATTTACATCAGAAGTAACACACACACACACACACACACACACACACACACACACACACTGCTATACACCAGAAACAAGCTACTACCTTGAATATACAAGGAAAGCAGTAACGTCTTACAGACTTTTACACACAAATGTTGTGGATTATTGCCTTTGTACAAATCTAGTAAACTCTCTTTATTTAAGGTTAGGTTGTCTTTTTATCAAAAATACAGTACCTGTTTTTCTTCCTTGCTTATGAGGGTGTGGGTACAGACTCCGATTTTCTCCTCCACCTGTGAATCACCACGTAATGAACGCTAAGGTCAACCTGGTCTGAGTCTGACTTTGTTAACTGCTGATCTTGATGCTGTGTTTGATTATGTCCAACAGACCAGAACTGCAGTTAGTGTCGTGGCACAGTTGTGATTTATGTTAATGAAAAATCTCCATTTACCTCTGCAGACTTACTCGAGCTTAAAACGCTCATCTTCATTTCGATGAAAAAGGAGCTCTTTTGGAGATGAAAATGAGATGTGTGAATCCTGCAGGTTTTCCCTCTAAATGGCTATATGTCATTAGTATGCACTGACTTAAAAAAAAGAGCCAGGCTGAGTCTCCCCTTTTTAATTACGTTACGATTCAGGGGGCCCTTTTGGGGGGAGGAGGGGTGATGAAGACATGGTGGGAACAGCAGAGGACGGTAGGTGCAGAAGGATTCCCAGAACGACGCTCCTCTCTGTGATATCCTGTAGCACTGATGCCCTGAGGGATGCCAGCACGGAAGAAGTTATTTACATGGCACGCACACACGCTTATGCATTATACGTCAACGCCATTGCATTCAAATTCATGCATAACCTGCTGGAACTGTCACACTCACTGCTCTGCTGCGTTTCAATTTCCTCTTTCTCGAACACACACATTCACACACTCCATATTAAACATCCAAGAACCTGTTAACCATACAGAGTTAATTGCATTGCTCACCGCTCATCTAGATCTCTGTGTGAGTGTGTGTGTGAGTGTGTGTGAGTGTGTGAGTGTGTGTGAGCGTGTGTGAGCGTGTGTGAGCGTGTGTGAGCGTGTGTGCGCGTGTGTGAGCGTGTGTGCGCGCGTGTGTGTGTGTATTGACATACGCAGGATTGATTAGCAATATCCCTGGACTAGTGAGCTGATCAGTGTGTGATTGAAGAGGCTTTGAATGCAACATTTGTAATTCTCTCTCCCACCTTGAAAGGAGATTCTGATAAACACTGCAGGCTTTGTTGTCTGGACGTTTATCTGGGAGCTGTTGCTGAGTTATTTGAGTTTTCATTGTTTCTTCTACTTCCATGGAGCTCAGCCACGTTGGGATCCTATAGAGGATGTGTTGACGGATTGTGTACACCTGTGTGTGTGTGTGTGTGTGTGTGATGGTGGTGGTGTTGATCAGGGTGAAGCTCAGGCCAGGTAGATGAGTGTTCTCCAACACAGTGGCCAGTTAAGCCTGATGGATGAGGGACATATCTGCAGCTACACCAGAGTCACACGTGTGAGCATTCTACACTCATATCACACACACACACACACACACACACACACACACACACACACACACACACACACACACACACGCACAGGCACACACACGCACACACACGCACAGGCACAGGCACACACAAACCCTTGATACCCCAGTTGTTGTGATGACAGAGTAGCCTGTGACCTTCCCAGCATGCTTTGCGGAGCTCTTGATCTCACGTCTTTTACAGGACCAACATTTATCATTTGTTTCCTTATAGCCTGTATGTGTGTGTGTGTGTGTCTCCCTTTTGGATTAATTATCATTAATAGGTATTTGTTTTTTATGCAGTACTTATAAATATATAAATATATGATATATATTGATATAGATTTTGAGCTGTATATAAGTTAGCACATGTCAGTTGTAAGTCAGGTTAGCCCTGTCTTACCATCGACGAAAGACTGATGAGCTGGCCTATTGATTAGTTGCCGGGGGAGACGGATGGCGGCCACACATCAGGGACACTCGGGGTCACCATGGCCATCAGACAAGGGAGTGGGTGTGGCCCTGCGGGGAGACTCATGAATAAACATAGCACTGGTAATCAGGAGTATGTAAATGAATGTGCTCATACATAAGCCAGCAGCGATAAAAGTGTAATGAGTTATTCATAATTCATCACAGGCTGATGAGGAAGGAAGAGGGAGGGAACGAACTAGAGAATTGGCAGAAGCGTGTAGATGAAAAGCTGAAGAAAGAGAAGTACAGAGGTTCATTAATGAACAAATAGAAGACAAAACTTTGTTTGTGTCTGCCGTTTGCTGACAATACAACTTGTTGCTTGAGACTTGTTTCTCCACAGGGGGTCGAGTTGTAGTTTATCAAGCTGTTTCTGGAGAGAGGGCTGTTGTTGGAGGTCACTCCAGTCAAGAGACATTTATTTCTATTTTTGTCTAGAACAACCCTGACCTGTGTTTGTTCAAACAGATCTATGGAGAACAAAAATTACTAACACTTACACATTACAGATATAGATGGCCTACAAGCACTGATCCTTGTATATATATATATGTATATATATATATATATATATATATATATATATATATATCCTGCTGCTCTTTAGGTTTGGAGTATTCAGGACAGGCAGTTTATTAGGTAACTTTACCATAGTTCAACATTAGCTTTATCTGTACTTTCAGAGCAAATAAAGTGTTTCCCTTAAGTAATTGTTAAGCATGAATGATTAGGAGCCCAGTCGCTGCTGCATCTGTGATTATGTTTATGAATGGTTAGTTTCTCCCTAAATCTTTGAAACCTTTGGTCATGAAATGTCACCAAAAGGAGAAAAATGGCCATTACACAGTCAGTGTCAAGTTCTAATCCTGACACATCAAGACTTCTATTTAAATATGTTGCAGAGTGTCAAACTGGATTAAATATAAATCAGTAACTTAATGCCATTTGTTTTGGGAAAAAAAGCTCCTTTGCTTTTTTCACTGAAGGTTAATTTGTTGTTATTTCATGGGCGATTAAATGTCTTTATGTCGTTGGGAAGTAGCAGGGGGTTCATAACTCCCTTATGGCTACAAGTGCAAAATGTAACAGTTATCTTAACACATAATGAGAAAAAAAAACAAAGGCAGAAAGGGGAGCCACTAGATGGCAGAGGTGTGGAGAACGTACAGAACACAAAATGTATAAATAAATTAAGAGGCTGTGAAAGGGGATACTTTAACAAGAACAATGACACTTTCCAGGACATTGTCAGTGAGTGTAGTCCATTCCCTATTTCAACTTGACTTCTGTGTTTCATCCTATCAGAGGAGTCGTTTCAAGTTACTGAACCCCTCTCTATGTTGTAATACTTCTCAGTGGTTCTTTATTCATTAATTATTTATTTTGGTGTTCTCTGCTCTGCAGCTTTTACAGATCAACTTCTTTTAATAATTGTACGACTGGAACCTGCGCACGTTATGCACCTCAGCACTTTCACCCATATACTGTGCATTTGCACTTTGTATGTTTTATGTATTGTCTGTCCACGTACTCAACAGAAAGCTTTACACCGTCCTCAATATTCATGCAGGTAACAGCCCATGGTTTTTTGTGTGTCTTGAGTCGGGCTTGATCTGAACGTCTCATGAGTCCCAGTATGGCAAAGCGATCTGGCATCAGAGACAGAAACTGGGGTTTGGCCTCGGGGATCTCTGACATACTGCGTGCGAGTGAGTGGTAAAGCTGCGGGTATGCAGGCTGCAGTCAGACAATAGAGCACAAAATTCAATTAATGTGAATGGCTGTCCTGGGTAAGCGGGAGGGGAAGGCGTAAAGCTCTAAATGAGATTTCACCCCTTCTCTCCCCTTCACCCTACAGCCCTGTTTCACCACCAACCTGCCCACCACCCCCCCATCCCTCCGCACTCTTTCATGTCCCCAATGCCAGGAAGTGATTAGAGACAGAGATATAATCAGAGGTGGGATGGTGCCACTGTGTGTCTGGGTGTGTGTGTGTGTGTGTGTGTGTGTGTGTGTGTGTGTTGAATGCCAGTGCTCCTGAGGGATGTGGCACGTGTGGCTGCTGCCTTTTTTTTATTTGAATAAATTCTCTGGTAGCAAAGTGTTCACTGTCCTGGGTTTTCACAAATAAGAACATGTGGTACTTAAATAGACACATGAGTGATTTAAAGAATCAATTAAGACAACATATGATCTCAGTGTAGCGGGCCCATGCAGAAAGTAGTTCTGGATTTCTTTTCTTGGGTTTCAGGATCTTAAGAGATTTCTATCAATCTGAATGAGTGCACCATTGTTTGTGGCCCTCAAAGCATTGAAAATAAATGTTTATATTTATACTGTTATATGGTCCTAGATTATCTGGAAAAACTAACCAATAATGTTCACATTTACCTTAAGACCCCTTTCATCCACATGTTTTGTCCAATTCCATCCTTTACCACTGTAATATTGTAGAAGCTCCTGGAACCATTTGAGTCCGACCAATTAAAAAAAAATAATAATAATGAAGTCATCTAATTTTTCAACACTAACTGAGAGTCCAGACAATTTACATTGACCACATCTTCTGTCTGTCACTTTGAATCACTCGCAGGGAAGAAGATAAGAACATCTTTGACTACTGCAGAGAAAATAACATCGACCACATCAGCGAGGCCATCAGCTCCCAGAAAGTGGAAGTCAACACTACAGACGAAGAGGTGACTATGCGGACAAATATATCAAGTCAAACTGTACTGATGGCATGAGAGCTGTTATTTATGGTGCCACAGTGTGCTGCCAAATGTAAGGTATATCTAATATGGGTATGTTGGAACAGTGAAGAGAGAATTACCTGCTAAAGTGTCCTCTAACCAGGAACTAGTCTTTACTAGCAGCAGGGTTGGTGTCATGTGATCTGCCTTTTCTAGAAGAGGTCAGGAGAAAATGATCATTGCAGTATCATTTGGAGTACAGGTCAGTGGGGGATGGTTCAGGCTGCTCTTTCTGCACTTGTTACATAATGGTTTCAATGATCTGAAGCCACAGACACCTGGGAACAACTCCTCAGCCTGAGATGTGTGAATTGTGTGAACATCTATTACCATAAACAGTGTGTTTTCTGGATTGACCCCGAAATCCATTCACCTGCCCTGGATTCATTACGGGCCGAGCCAAATGGCTCACTCCCTTCTTCTCTTTCATCACAGCCCTCTGCAGATAAGCAGGCCGGCGGCTGGAGAGTTTCAAGCCAAAGGCCAGATGGTGGAAGGACCTCTGCAGAGAAAGCTTTGTCTGTCCACCGCTATTGTTTGCTCACCTGCAGTGTAGCTCCCTCAACAGCAGAGGGCAGTGGTGAAGTTTGACATCAGCAGGAAGCTGATCTGCTCCTATTGCTCAGAGAGTGAGCATAGCAGAGGGTCTAACCCAGGGCTAACTGTTTGGGTTAGTCACTAAATATTCACTTGTCTTTTGTTTTGAAGTAAGCTTCTAACAAAGCAGAAACAACACTAAATACAAAATACTGACCTCATCCAGCCATTTCTAGAAATTACACATTGCCTTTGGTTGCTTAGGCCTAGATACTTTGATAAACTTGCTTTTCATATACAAACTAAGCTAACAGTTATACACAAACTACAGCCGTACCAATTATATTAAAGTAACAATGAAACAGAATACAACTCCAGAGAGCCCAAGCAGTGATACAAAGGCGATGTTTCATGAAACTATCTACGATTAGTGAAATAAAGTCCAATAAACAAGATAACAAGATCTCAACAGGACGTGTCTGTCTGAATGGTAAACCCTTTTTGGAAAGACATACACTATTCAAAAATATTATGGGGTCAAAGCAGAAGGGCGGCGACAATGTCACTTTTAATTCATGTATATTAAAGTTTGGGCTGCGTAACAAGAATAACAAATCAAACCTTGTTCTTTTTTGATACAAACAGATTGTTCTGTTATCAATCAAATAATGTAGTCTATAAATGCTTAGAGTGCCTAGAGTAAAGACACTTTAAAACAAGATAAATATAAGTAAAAGCTCTGTGGTGCATTCCTTTAGTTAAGGAGCTACTAACCTGTTTATATGTATCCTACATTATAAGCCATTATTATGCTCTTAATGATTATTTAAATTGTTGTTTTCTCATCAAATGCTTAATTTTTTAAAGCGATTGATATAAAAGGAACAGTCACTCAAACACCTTGTTGATCCTGAATCATTTCGATAAAAGCGCTACAAATGCCTTGTTTCTGAAGCTGAATCATGTGTGTCATCGATTAGAGGACTTCCGTGGGTTGGGAACCGGAGGGTCACTGGTTCAAGTCCTGGTGCAGACCGCAATAAGGAAGTTGTTCTGGTAGCTGCAGATGTGTCAGGGCACTTCCTGAGTACTGCTGAAGTGCCCTTGAGCAAGGCACCATATCCCCAACTGCTCTGATGCGCTCCTTGCGGAGCAGTGTGTAGCCACTCTGACGTCTCTCCACTAATGCATGTCCACTGTTTGTGATTTGGGTCTATGTGTGTGAGAAGCATGTCTCTCAATAACAGAGTGTAAACCAGAATTTCCCCTCTGGGATTAAAATAGTATTTAAAAATACATTAATTACATCTTCAATAAAAGAAGTGCTAAATAAGAAGATCTTGAATTGTGGGTCACAGTTATTAAATGAATACCATTTCAAAGCAGCATTGGAAGAAGTGATCATCATGGGCTCGTCATTTGAGCCTGCACTCATGACAAAGTTGTCTAGAGAGGAAGTCATCTGTTTTTCATCAGCCCGACTTATGTCACTCTATCAGTAAAGACAGTTTTCTCCTCTGTGAAGTAAGTGATCAAGATTTGACTTAAATCTCCTTTGAGTGGTCCTTAAGCCCTGATCATAAGAGACCTGTCTTAAATATCTCTCTCTTTGCTTATCGATCAAGATGTGATCACACTCAATCAACCCCTGAACTTTGGAAGCTTCTCTAAATGTTTTACTACACTTATTCTTTTGATTTAACTCTGCATCCCTCCAAAGCTTGTGTGAAATCTGTTTACAGCTTCACGCTGGATGTAGTAATCTTATGGTTTAGAATGTGGCACGTAGTCAGCAGCAGCACACCTGAGAGAGAGCTGGAAAGAGCGAGTGAGAGAGAGAGAGAGAGAGAGAGAGAGAGAGAGAGACCAACTTATTTGTATTCTGGCCCGGCACATAAGTCTCCATTTGAACATGCAGCCGTGGTGATCAATATGATTTAAGCAACAGAATTAGACTTGGAGAGTTTGCTTTACCTAATTGGCCTCACTGAAAAATGAGCTCCTGTGGTTTTCTTAGAGCGAGGATCTTGGACCTAAGGAGGGTATGCTTGTGTTGGTCACTGTGCGTGCTTTGTGTGTGTGTGTGTTTATTTGAGATAAAGTAAAAGGTTGCAAGTTTGAGGGATGCTCTTGTTTTCTTAACAGTGTCCCATCAATCAAGCTTTACAGACTGTTTGCAGGTTACTCTGATTTGAGTGTGAGAGTCCTTGGTCTCTGATCAAACATCCATGCTGTTCCTCTTTGCTCACACATCCAGGGAAACACACGCGCGCGCACACACACACACACACACACACACACACACACACACACACACACACACACACACACACACACACACACACAGCAGTCGACATATGTCTATAATACACCTGCAAGTCATTATAGAGCTGAGGTCTAAAGGTTATGAGTTCTGAATCCTCTCACATTATTTATTTAGTAAGAAACAGATTGAAGTGTGTGTTAACTAACGGTTTGAACTAAAACCCTGTAAAGACATCATACTTCATGTCATTAATCTAACTTAAATGAATCAGTGCTGTTGAATGCTAAGTCATGCCTTCAAACTTTTGCAGTTGCAGTTCAAAGTATGCTGCTTGTGAGTAATCTTGTGCTTGTATTTGCAGGGCCGGGCTCTCCTGCACTGGGCCTGTGACAGAGGACATAAAGAGCTGGTGTCGGTATTACTGCAGCACAAAGCAGACATCAACAGTCAGGTAGCATTTCGCTCTCTTTTTGTCCTTTGAATTTGTCCTCCTTTTCATCCAACAACTGCTGTGGAAAATCTAATTTGGGCAGCCGAAGATTAAAACAACAATTGTGTTTTCATATTGAACAACTACAACTTGAGTAAGAGTTTGGTATGTGTGATATGGATCTGAAACAACAAAATTATGTTTCAGCTTTTACAAAAACTTCAAGAAAAAATCATTGTTAAACCAAGGTAAACTGGAGCAGGATCAAATCTCTGTTACGTCAGATTCCACTCTTAATTGCTTAAATTGGTAAACTTCAGAGTTGAAGTCAGGGACAGTTTTTTTCCAATGAGATGGAAGAACATAAACACACTTTTTAACTCAGTCTAAATACCTCGAATTTGCCCCCCCTGGAAAGATATTCAGGTTCACATTTTAGTTGAATGCATGTTGGTGAACAAGAATGAAGTGAGACTGTTTCCTACATCAGGGCAGTGGTGGAAAATAAAGTCTGTACAGCAAGTGGAGGTGTGTGTTTGAGTGTATAAAAGATGGAATTCAGAAGAGGATGAGAGAAAAGTCACTGCTCTGCACACACATGAACCCAAAGCAAATAGTGACATCTCCGACATCCCCATAGCACTCCTGTCTTCTGCCTCCATCCCTTCCAGAAGGTCACCTTTAATTCACTTTGTGCCGCAGACAAATCCCTCAGGGCTTTAGCAGACTGAGTTAGCTGGTAGCTTGCCTGGTGTTTAGTCTCCCTGAGGTTTCAGCAGCATCCAGGAGGCTTTAGCTTTGGCGGTAAGCTGGCTCAGCTGCACATCGGAGAAATTACTCCTCTCCTCTGCCCAGCAGCACGACACAGTGCAGTTCAGTGCGCCGCACACTGAGGCTTTAACTGTAAGGCCGAATCAATTGGAAGTAATCAGGCAAATTGTTTTATGTTGCACAACCCACATAATCAGGACATTTCACAAATGACTTTCTCTTTTGTGGTCATGCGTGGCCTCTTTTGTTTTGAATGTTGGGGGGGATTGTTCATAAAAGACTTAACAGTGGGATAACTACGAAACACTTCACTAATGAGTTAGAGCCATATCCAGATAATGACAGCGCAGGAGGATTGTTGTGTGGATGGAGGCCTTTGTCCTTTTGCAAGATGCATCATATTTGCAGTCATGTATCTATCATTAAGATATAAAGTGATATCAGCATGTGCCGAGGTTTTTCTGAGGTCAAAGAAGGAAACGTGACATCTTTGGACAGGTAGTGATGATGGAAGTCTGGGCAAGTGCACACTTTTAGTTATTGACCTGACCTTGTCCTGACTTTTTTCTGACTTTAAAACTTCTGTACACAGAGAGGAAAATGTGTTTTTATTAAACCATTTGTAATCGAGCTAACACAGAGATGATCATGGTAATCTGGAGATTTAGGATGTCAATTGTTTAAAACTGTGTTTTCTTTAAAACTGTAATGTTTGATCAAATTTGTGTACACCACAAAATGTAATCATACGATAATGTTTCAGGAGGGCCTTTTAAATCAAAAGTGCAGACATTCATGCATTGAGGGCATCTGGGTGTTCACCTGCTTGTCTCTCAGGTGTCAGAGGAAGCATGCCGTGGACAGGAGTGAATGTTACAGACACTGGATCTGTGCAGCATAGCTACTGGGAGCAGATTTATGAGGTGGCCAAGAGGTGGCTAGGAGAAAAATATAGTCAGCTAAATCATACCACTCTGTCGCAATGCCAAATTATCTCACTTTGCAAAGCTTACAGAGCGATATGCTTCTCATTAGAACCTGCTCGAACATCCTTTTGTTTTGTCTGCTGCTCCGGGGTGAGGTCAGCGAGGAAAGGGAGAAAAGAAGCAAAGGAAAGGAGATGAGTTTTTTTGTTGCACTGCAGAAGAAGAAAAATATCCTGTGCCTCATAAAACAAAGAGTCAGGGAGGTTGTGTGTGTTCATGAGAGGAATGTTTGGGATGTTTGCAGGCTATTAGAGCGCCCAGTAATCTCTCTTGACCTCCACCAACTGCCAGCAACCAGTAAATAAAGATCAAACATGATTAATGCTTAATTTGTTGATTAAAAAGGGGAGGGGGTTTGAGAGTTTAAACAAAAGGTATTATTATTTGCCTTGCAGTGGAGGAAAATCGTTTGATATTAATCAACTGATTGTTTTAGTGAATTGTTCCCCAACCCATGGTAACCTGCATTAAGGGCTCGTTTGATAGTTAATCCTGGATGAAGGCTGCGAGGGACTACAATAGGTAGAGCTGTGTGTGTGTGTGTATGTGTGTGTGTGTTTGTGTGTGTGTGTGCGTGAATACACAGATCACAGCTGTGCCACCTGCCAATTGTAGCTCAGGCCCTTATGATATATCAGCTAATACACAAAGAGAAAGTAGGACACAGCAGAACTGTGGGAAAGATGACAGCAATGGTGGAAATGAAGGCTTAAACAGTGGATTTACAGTCTGTGTGCCAGAATGTGTTTAAGAGCATCAATGAGGCATTAGCTTAAGTTGAGCACATTCCATCATATCACAACAGCACCAATGACAGATCATAGAGTGCCAATTTAACACTAGTTAGGGCTTAGATTTCTTTTGGCAACTACATGTATGAGTTTAATTATTTGAAACAGTCAATCAGACGAGATAGACGTTTAAATTGTGCGTACCTGAGCACTGAGCGCTCGCCTTGGCCTGATCGAAGTTTGGCTTTTGCTTTAAAAAGATGAAGATTTAAAAAGACTTAAATCCTTATTTGAGTTCCACACCTACATTATATATACTGCATCCAAAAGTCTCCTTTAAAATGCAGAAATTGTTACATCTAACAGACTTGTATGAGTGAGTAAATGTTTTTTTTTTTAAACTCTGTCAATGGGAAAACAGACAGAATATGGAAGGCGAGTGAGAAAATGATGAATAATAGTATCATGTACAATCATTTACAATCCAGACACAGATGAATGCAAACACAAAGACCAGTGGAATATAAAGTTAATGCATTTAAAAAGGTTTGGTAGTGAAGATTTCATGACATTCATACTTTCAGGAAAAGCAGTACAGTCTCCTATAAGATAAATACGGTTAAAATTAAAATAAAATAACTGTATCTGGCTAAAAATAAACTCACTCGTATGTTTTAAAGAAAAAGGAATTCAAAAACGAACAAACAAAAATAAACACAACTTGTTCACATATAAAATACACCCAATATGTGAAATGTACCTCTTGTGTACCTCTTGTCTTTATGTGCTGGGTTATTTATTGGCAAGAAAGGGATGCCAGGCAACAGGTGAAGTACCACAACAATATAACTCTCAGCCAAAACATAATGGCTGTAGCTTCATATATTTACCGTAAATTAAGAGTGTAACCAATCCTCAAATCTAAATTATTCCTTAAGTAAAATAAACAGGTATATGATCCAAAAAGTGAACTGTTCTTATAGAAAGATTTAATCCATACAGAATGAGATGACCTGAAAGTTGTAGTTTTTAAATGATGAATAGTCTTAAAATGGACCCTTTTAGAGGTTTAGTCGTGTGTTTGTGTGTGTCCACTCTCCCTGTGGTCCTTCTCTGCCCAGACGCTGTAATCCCACACCTTCAGCTAATCCTCATCCCACACACATACAACTTTTACTTTCATCCCAAACCTTCCTCTTCCCCTCCCAACAAGCTGTAGTGTTACCATGGAGATATACATTCACAGAGAGGATACCTTCGTTCAGGAGAAATTGGAGTCGAAGAGGAAAGGTTTTTTTGTTGAGAGGGTCTGCAGACTACAACAAAGGTCAAGAATGGCCCACAGTACGATGTCTGACACTGGGTGATTACTGAGCGGGTGAGAGACAGGGGTGGGATTAGACTGACAAAGAGGAAGGACAGGTGAGACACAGGTTACCACAACACAAACACAAAGCCAGGAAGGAAACATTGTGTGGGTTTAAGGAGGTGAATTTGGGAAAAAGCATCACAGGTTTTAAGCACATTGTAGTTTCTCACTAAACTCATGCCTATTTTTTTTTTTTCATTCTGTCTCCCCATTTTTACCCTCTCCTCATCCCTCTCCACTTCCCCCTCCAACCCTCGTCCCCCTTCACTCCATCCCTCCCTCAGCTCTCCAGCGCCTCTACTTTGTATTAAAACAACATGATCCATGAGGCGGGGAGAGCGACTCGCAGCACCAGTAATTCTAATTAATCCAGCGTGGTAGCACAGACGCAGCAGGCCCTAGGCGCTCCCAGTCTATCAGATAGAAATTCATAACTTAATTGAGGTCAGAGCCTCGAGCCGGCTGAACAAAAGTCTCCAGCCAGGACCAGCTAGATCAATAGTAATAAATATCTGACTGGGCGGCCCACAATTGGTAGCAAGAGAGCACACAACAAGTCTGGTACATGTTGTGTGTAGAAGCTGCAGGGACGTCCATATGCAGTGTGAGGCCGTCTGTTTGTGTTGAAGAGGTAAGCCTTCAGGACTCACAGACCGGCATGTCTCTTTAAGATATACACAATTTAACTTTTCTTAAAGGTACTGTTCTTATATTTAAGGCATGTTTTAGACTTTTACACGGTTCTCTCTCAGTTGTTTTTATTTTGTATATATGAATGTTAGTAGTGTGGATGGACTCACACTGTGGATTGAATTATATGAGGGAGTAAAACATGTAGCACTGTAGGTCATCAACTTGAATAATACAGGCTCAAAGTTATAAAGAACTCTAGGAAATCAATAAAAGAGATAAGCGATATACAGATAAGTGATTACGTTATGTTCAGTGTATATATTGAAACTCAAGTCCTAGTCCAGTAGGCAGAGCCCTTATGTCCTCCATTCTTTTTAGATGGCAGTGTTAGAAGACATTGTGGGTGATAAGTTATAAGACGTTGTAGTACAGGATGAGTAGACATTCAAAGTTGAATTTAATCTTTAATATAAAGTTTGTTCAAAGGAGCATCAACAACGTATCTTTATTACCGTTTTCACACTAGCAGAA